TAATCAGTTGAAAAAAATGTGACGAATTTATAAAGACTTTTATTCGGAATGTATTTCCGTAAGTGCATAATTGAATGAATAAATAAATGGTTTAATTATTTGTACAGGTTAGTGCCAGAGAGTGCACGATGGTTAGTATCGCAGAGGAGATTCGAAGAAGCCGATAAGATTCTGCAGAAAGCGGCACGTATCAACAATACAAGATTGCCAGATAAGTGGTGGGAGCAGATCGACTCGGGAAGTGGCAGTGGGTCAACAGCTGATGGAGATATGAAAACACCGACAAGTACATCAAGTGAGCAGAAAAGGAGGAGTTATGGCTTCCTCGATCTGATTCGAACACCAAAACTTCGAATGCGTACAGCCGCATGCTTCATCATATGGCCTGTGAGTTGGCATTACATCCGAATTTCTATCGTTAGCTTCAGGTTCATGCTTAAAGTTATTGTAGATGTAGTTTCGAGGTTGAGGTCTGCAATTTAGTTGCGTTTCACAGTTCTAGATTTATTACTAGCGGTTTCTGTAGAGTTTTTAGAGTTTTCTTCATTGATTCGTCCTGAAGGAATTGAATATTTGAACATTTCTCCCAAATGTGGATCCTCATTTCAGTGAAGATTCGCGTCAATGATTTTAACTGTCCAATGTTAATTCAGAGACAATGTTGTGTGATTGTTTGACGGTCATTTGCTGGCATCCGTTTAAGCAAATCGTAATTTTCGTTGCAGATAGTTTCGATGATCTATTACGGTGTATCAATGAAGACTGACTTTATGGGTGGAGACCTTTATGCAACATTCATAATGGGTGGCTTCTTTGAAATACCTGCGCTGGTTTTGATATTCCTCTTGGTGGATCGGATTGGTCGTAAGGCACTACTAGCTGGCGGTTATTTTGTTGCTGCCTTCTGTATGCTGACCAATCTCATACTGCCAGAAGGGTGTAAGTTAATTAGCGTTGCGTTTCTTTATTGATTCGTTCAGCTTTACCTCGTCTAGTTTATTCGTAAGTTGTGATGGATTTATCCATATTTGTCCATTGAAAAAAAACGTTATCTCTGGAAATCGGTTCCGTTCCCTAAGATTATTTCCCGAACAATTTGAAACCGAATTGCTCGATGGGAAAGGAACTTCAAGCAGTTATCGAACGAAGTTGATATCATGTTTTCAGCGCATTGGTTGCTTAGTTTCGTGCAGTTTTTGGTCACGAAAGCCGCTATAACGAATTGTTACGCAGTGATCTATACGATAACACCGGAACTCTTTCCGACAGTGATCCGAAACACAGCGATGGGATGTTGTTCGACAATTGCACGTATTGGTGCTATTCTGGCCTCGTATATTGCGATGTGGATCGTGAGTTACTGTTGTGATAGATTATAGCGTCTGGAGAATTCTTTTCGAGAGTCACTTGGATGATCATCGAGTTTTTGGACGCATTTTTTGCTTGGAATTTTCGCCAGTCTGATTCGGAAATGTGTATTTGNGAATCATGAGTCGTTTCTGAATGAATTTTACAAGTTTGATATAACCAACAGAAATCACAATGGTTATGCCGTACTTATGTTGTAGGTGGTGTGTTTAATAATATTAACAAAAGTGGTAAAATTTTCAGGTGGAGCGAGTGGGTGCGTGGGCGATGATAATACCGTTTGGATGTATGGCGCTGGTGGCCGGTATAGTGGTGATCGTTTTTATACCCGAAACGATGGGTCACCCTTTGGCCGAATCGATTGAGGAGATCGAAGGTGAACATTTTGCAGAGATGAGAAATGAAACCGATGGTGCGACACCGTTGTCGAATATTGACAACAAGACGGCAGAAGGAAACTCGAATAGTTGAGGTGACTGCTTATGAAATTGTAAATGACTATAGTGATTTATTGCTAGTGATTATGGATTCGTATATGCCGATTCAGAAATTATGGACTTTTACTGTGTGAAAAGTATTGTGTTGAACATTTGCAGCAGTTAGTGAAGGAAGAAATGAATCCAGTGAAGAGCATAGCTGAATGAGTTTGNTTTTTTTTGGAAGATTCCGTACTTGAAAGATTATGCTTAGAAATATAGGATGTTTTCTGTGTTTGTAATAGCGCCCTCAAATCAGAATTTATGCAGCCGTTCAGGTTCATTTGTGAAACGTGACGTTCCATGCATACCATTCGATAAGCGCGTTATACAATATGGTTTTATTCGAACGGTTTCAGACGACCGTCACTTTTCACTTCGGAAATCTTGTGATCGGAGCTAACAATTACAGTCACTAGTGCATTGTATTAAGTATTTGAGCATTTTGTCATTGTTTTGTTGGCATTTATTTGCGTTACATTCTGTTGTTGACTAATTGCGTTCTGCCGAATGAAAAGAAACGTTTTCCATTTAATTATTACCTCACCATTTCCAGTGAATTCGATTCTTTTCCTAGTGATCGTTCGTTCGCATTGCTTCTTAACGCAAACAAATCTTCGCATTTTTGTACGGTTCTTAATTGCCATTATGCTGTAAAATGTGCTTTAATTATTTGATTTGTTTGCATCTCACTAACTCGTTAGCATTTTGTTGCATTGTATGTGAACCATGTTTGTAATTGTTACCAATCGCGAGTCCTGTTCATGGACGAAATGCGTATAAGTTTTCAGATTTTAACTTGACTTCCACGTCTTGTGGATTAACATGATTCCGATTAGGGAAATATTGCTCTTTTCATATGTATATGCATTGAAACTAGTCGATTATTCCATATCGAGTAGCATTTTGTGTTGATCAACATCGATTATGTTGTTGTAAACAAAAACGTTGAGTCATTTCAATTTCAATTTGTTGGTCTCTTAAAGAAGCCAAAAACAATCGTCGATGTTTTGTGTGCATTTGTTATAACTGATGAATTCGTGAATATTTCGTGAATGTCGAACGTCTATTGAGTTATTGTTGTGCATTTTAAGCATTCCTCATTTGTGATCATTCATCACGTTATTTTCGTTTGTTGCTTACGATTTTCCGATTGGGTTCTGATGTGAATTGCTTGCGATTAGTATTGTGACATGGGATTGATGTGAGTTCTGTTTAGATGGTTTTGTTCAGTTCTTTGCTTACCATTCAGTGATTTTTTAACGAAAAACTTGATTGTGTTCGAAGAGATAAGGCAAACGCTCAGAAATGTCCCTTTTTCGTTGGTCTCTTAACGATTAGCTGGAGAGAGAGTTGGGTGATGATTTCGAACGGGGTTGATGGTTGTAGCAATTTACATGAACCAGGGAAATGTCTTCAGTAGAACGATAGAACGATCTACATAGCCAATTAATGCTGGTAATTGTACTCATTAGAAAGTTGATTGTTGTTCGATGTGTTACTTCAGTTCGTTAAACTTTAAATAGTTTTGATACTTTGGTGATGGACGAACAAAATTGCTATCGAATGAAGACGACCGGTTGAATGAAATGATAGCACAGTTAACAATAAATATTGTGTTCAGTTATTCGGATTCACTCTCACCCAAAACATATTCGTATCCATATTAATAGTTCGATGTTTTTCATAACGAACCGAAGACGTTGATGTTGGTCACCTACCGATATATAATTTATAGAAGTGAATATCATTACAACTAAATTTTTGTAACAGAAACCCTTGAAGAAATGGGTGAGTTAACTGTGACTTAAAGGATTGATATTTAGTCTTCACTGCAAATTGATTTTAAAAGAAAATTGCTTATCAACCTGATGCAAATATTTATCAACTTTGTAGTGAACGGAATAATCAAATGATAATTATCACTGTGGCATTAACAGCATTTAGAATATGATTTAAAAAAAATTCAGTTCCGACAGATGAAATAACTTAATTCATGAGGATATGAAATATTGATGGATACGTTAGAAGAGTTTGAAAAATGAATACGAATCATGAGGAGTGAAGGTGAATGCATGCAAATGAATACAGTGCGATCGGTTCTGACCAATAAAAGCGATCAAAAGTAGCGGAGTATGAACCTTTCGAAAGGATATAGGAAGCATGTCTAAAGCTTGTCAACCATTTGTCAACGCAAGGGGACAAAAAGGAGATATCAAAACGGTTAAAAGAACCACACAGAATTGGATTAGTGAGCAGGATATACGAACGGAAATTGCATCGGTTTTCGAGCTTGCGTGACAATTTTTAATTCTGCGGGAAAATTTCAAAATATTCTGGGGAGAAATTTTTAATAAATACATAGCAGAAAGGCGAGTTCATCATGGACTGGAAATTTGGATTCGCGTACTGAATAAATCACTAGGAAAGGACCCGAGGCGAAGAAATCAGAACGTGAATGAAGGCTGATAGCAATCGCGTTTTGTATGCAATAGAAGTCCTTTACATAGTCTGTTCAGCTGACGGTAACTATTGTCATAAACAAAATGAATGATATAGCAATTTTAAGATTGATCACGATCGGTGCTTTCGAAGGGATTTGCGAACAAACGTCCATCATTTGATCATAGCATTTCGCATCTATCGTTTGTTCAAATCTGGATAAGGCTGCAGCTGTAGAGCATATGGCTTTGGAGTCCTCTTTTTTGCACACAGGATTCGAGAAGATACACTTTTCAAAGGCTATGAAATTGCTGCAAATGGTTCAACCGTTAACGAGTGAACAAATCGGGTACAGCCTCAGCATTTTCTCATGAACACCCCAACCTGTCACGTGTTTGCTTGTGTATCAGCCTGGATATGCATCTGATAAACGTTTCATCTATAATTATTGAAAAACTTCCCCAGAGCCTCCATTCGAAAATCAGTAAAATCTCACAGCGAGAAATTCGTATGTTGTACATCTTAAATGAAAAACAACTTGGTCCAGCAATCCTACAAGCTGAACTTTTGCCTGTGAAAGTGTGTGTTAATTGTTTAGAGGTCGTTAAGTGGATTAACTAAATAATTCCAACAATCGTCAAAAAGACCACTTTAATAGGCGCGGTTGGTGAAAATACGTTTAGTTGCGGACGAGTTCAGCATGACTTTATGAACCTAACCGTGTCAGATTTTTCTTCAGACGCTAACTTTATGTCATGTTGAAGACTTACTATCAATGAGATAAACTCTTTTCAAAGGTAATTTGTGGCATGAAGCCTCTATGACTAAAACTTCTAGCGTAAGACTATCAGCGTCCACCTGCAGTTTTGATTCCTTAAGATTGGATTCCCTGGTTTAACTCTTAGTTTCACAGCCTCACACCCTGCATAAGTTCCTCGCATTTTGAACCCGCATTCATAAGCTGAAAAAATAAAGCGAATTAAATTGCAGCAAACCACGAAAAAATTCTGCGCTTGTTAGAAATGTTTCGAAAAGTCTTTCTGATGTGTGTGTTAATTCGCAAAACGCCATATTTCCTTCTCATCCACCAAAAAAAGCAATCACGGAAGCATAAACCTTCCTCGACAGATCTTCTCCTTCAATTTATGACCAACCACTGGAGTGATATATATCTTTATAACAGGTGATTTTTCCTGTTTGAATTCTTGATCCTCCTCCATCCCTAAGATCTATCAAAGGTTTATGGGAACTGATTTCAGCGGACTATATGAATGGGTAACAATGATCCAATTATTCAGCAGCCCTAGTCGAATGGTCCTGAGACGTATTCAATAGTCGTCAAAATTTTGTGAAACATGTCGCTAAATGACTCCAGCGCTGTAAGGCCACCGACTGGGTGAGTGATACGCAGTTGTACTCAAACAGAACTTTTTCAAATGATCACGATCGTATACTGCGACTGAGCCATTTGCTATCAATAAGGCCCAACACTGTCCCCAAACGACCCGTGCACGAAGGATGATTACCTTTGAGTTCTTTAATCCATGAATGCATGATAACTTACTCGTAACACTCCAGCAACACGTTGAGGCCTCCTGCATCAAGCTAAAGTATTCGCTTCCGCTGTTGTAAACGTGAACTCCATCATAAAGCTTTTTTTTGAAAACGCTGAAGACGCTCTGTGAGGCCTTGTCCATCGTTGTCCAGTAGTCGCTACTTTTAGGAGCCATTTTTTCGAAAACGCTCATTTCAAAGCACTTCGCGAAAACCGGACAGTTTTCGAGATTCTTATATGCGCTAAAAAAATTGCTGAATTTTGTTGTAGTGACGGCAATAAGCAGGACCAAGGCTCACAAATCTAATCGTTCAATTAATTGTTCAGCAATTGACGGGAAAAATCGATTCTGCGAAACACCGCATGAAGGAAGCAGTAAACTACAATAGTTTTGTCACGACAGATATCGCGAAAGAAAAAAAGAGAGATGAATCACATGCTCGTGAATTCGCAACATTATTATAAATTTCCTTTCAATATATCAATGTTTTGATTCTATCAGTCATCTTCTACAATAATCTCATGATGCAATGTCGCTAATTGACTCAGCTCTAAGATTGGCACCCGTATCTCAATCCATATCTTCAAATTGCAAGAGCTGAGAGCATGCGATATTTTTTGATTAAATATCTTTTATCAAATATCTATCATCTCTACAAGATTGTAACAATTGCATAAAGAACCGTTATTCACCAATTGCTGTGCCTTAATTTTGTTATTTGCCCATCATCAAATCACACCTCCAAGATATCAGTCTTAAATATGAGAAACTCTTTGGTTGATCTTATTGGTTGTTCGACTAATTTAAATGCTTGATTGATCAAATTCGTTGCTCCGATTGACTTGTTAGATTGACTCGTCTGGTTGTTTGGCTCGCTCACCTTATTTAATGCAATAATAACCAAACTTTTACTACTATTCTTCGTTCACTACACCTCAACACCTAGCATTTCAATTGCTACATTAGTGTATACCATACAATAAATATCGCAATTCAC